TGAGAGGGCACAGGCCAGGCTGAGGGACCACCCCCCACCCCGAGTGCACAAATTTTTGTGCACCAGGCCTCTAGTCTATATATATAAAAGCCCAAGCGACCATCACAACCAAAACAACCAAACGGATGACTGAACAGGCTGCGTGGGGGGACTAGGCCAGCAGGGGGGTTAGTGAGGGATGACCAAATGACTGAGCAGCAGGCTGTATGGGGCAACCAGGCAGGTCAGCAGGTGGGGTAGTGAGGGATGACTAAACGACGAAACAGCAGGCTGCATGGGGCAACCAGGCTGGCAGGCAGTCAGACATCCCCCGAGGGGTCCCAGATTGGAGAGGGTGCAGGCTGGGCTGAGGGGACCCCTCCCCCCATCCCATGCACGAAGTCTGTGCACCGGGCTTCCAGTATAAAGATAAGAAACTTTAAAGTGATTAATAACTTTACTTCCCCAATAAACACTCAGATCCTAAGCCCTATTAATTCTTCTTTGAAAATGTTTCTTAACTCCATTCCCATAGTCACAATCAAAGACAAACAGTTAATAGAAAGTGAAAGATTTTCATCTCTGTCCTTTTCTTTTCTCACATTAACAAAAGAGGAATACCTCCTCTTCCAAGTTATGGGGACTAATTATATGGTAACCAATTCTTTTTGACATATCATCCTCAAATTGATGCCACCATTCCCATATGCAGGAACTTAGTTAGACAGGTTTGTCTTCTCAAGCCCTTTTCATACTGTGAATGGACTACTGCAGGACTCTCCTATTAGGTATCCATACAGCTCCAGTCTCTCCCTCTTTTTTCTTTTTTATCCTTATCTTTTTGTTGTTGTTGTTGTGCAATTGTCTTTATAAGATACTATTTTCATTATGTTACTTGTCTTCTTAGGAACTTGTACTGGATTATGAACTATTACTCATCACATCTAAATCTCTATGCTTCTCACTTAAGACCTCCATTAAATTGGCCCCAAGATACCAGTCCTCATTATGAACCCTAATTTTGGTGATACCCAGTTTCAATACTGCCCCTAAAAGTTCATTCTAGCTTTTAAAGTTCATGGAGTTCGCTTTATTTTGTTTTTTGTTTGGGGTTGGTTTTGTTGTTGTTGTTTTTGCCTAAAATATACCACTCGAAGTATCTTACTTTTTGAAATGCTACCCCTCTTTTAAGACTGAACACAGCCCAGCCAGTATGGCTCAGTGGTTGAGTGTCAACGTATGCACCAAGAAGTCTCTCGTTCGATTCCCTGTCAGAGCACATGCCCAGATTGTGGGCTTGATCCCCAGTAGGGAGTGTGCAGGAGGCAGCTGATCAATGCTTCTCTCTCATCGATGTTTTTATCTTTCTCCCTGCTCCCTCTACCCTCCTTTCTCTAAAAAAATCAATAAAAAATATTGAAAAATAAAAAAGGCTGGACACAATTCTCACTTCTTTTATAGTCTTTGTTTTACTATGGTTGCAAATATCAAAAAATTTCTATATGTGACACAGCACCAGAGTTAAGTTAGGGTTTTTCAAAATGCTGACATGCCGAGCTCAAAAGGTTTGCCATCACTGGTATAGACTATATTTTTTAATATTAACTCTTTTTTTTGTAGGTGACCAATTTAATAAGTGAACTTACATACAAGGGTTGTCTAGGTAGCTGTATGACCGGTGGATCTACACCCACCTGCCGTAATCTTAAACATTTATACAGAAGCCTTACGAATATTAACTCTTGTATCTCTCATACTATCTAACCAATGATGGGCTCTCAATAAATATTTGCTACTTGACTGACAATGCAGAAATACTGTGAAATTATAATCAAAAGAAGAATCTTAACACATTGAGATTACAGAATCAGTTTTCTAACTCAAGATCCTTTCACATTCACAATCTTTTTCATATTCATTGCACATAAAGAAAACTTTAATATTTGTGTGACATTCTGGAATGAAAGAATAAAGCAGCCAGAGGTGACCAACTGGGCACTTCAGCCACCCTAGCGGGTGAGAAAAGCAATATCTCAGCATTCCTAAAACCTATAGTATTCTAGTTGACAAGCTATGATCTAAATGACTTCTGCTATGCATCAATGGCAATAAATAAATAAACAAATAAATAAATGTCTATGTGGAATATTACAAGTACCATAACCCAAGAAAAAGCATGAAAGCACATGAAATAAAAAGAATTAAAAGGAAAAGTCCCAAAATAAGAACAAAATATTGAATGTCATACACATTAAAAAAAAAAGTTTCCCTTTCTAAATTACCAGTTTCTATAAATAGAAATTTATCTGTTAAAAAATGTTTTTACCCATTCATTGACTATACCCTTCTTGTAACACATGATGGTCTGTCTTCTGTTCATTACAGTACCTGTAATAATTCTCGATGCTCTCCAGACTTGGAACATTGAATGAATCTAATTAAAAAGAAAAGAGCAAACATCACCTATATTAAAAAGAAAAATGCACCCCGGCCAGTGTGGCTCAGTTGTTTGGGCATTATCCCATGCACCAAAAGGTTGCTGGTTCAATTCCTAGTCAGGGCACATGCCTGAGTTGTGGGCTCGATCCCTAGTGGGGAGCATGTGGGAGGCAGCCAATCAATGTCCCACTCTCACATCAATGTTTCTCTTTCTCTCTCTCTCCCCCTTCCTCTCTTTCTGAAAATCAGTAGAAATATTTTTTTAAAAAAGTACAAACATGTTAATGACTAAAGAAAAATTACAATTCTTTCAATAACAATTTAAATGGTAGAATGCCAATAAATTAGATTGATAATTTTTAAAATTTGAAAGTAGAATTCAGATTATCTGGAAAATTGTTTAAGGCATCTAGTATACTAGAGAATAATAAATACTTTGAATTATGTACTATTTAGAATATACATCAATTTGAAAGTACAAGACTGGATGGTTATTGCTGTTGTTTTGGGGGTTTTTTAAATATATTTTATTGATTTTTTTACAGAGAGGAAGGGAGAGGGATAGAAAGTTAGAAACATCAATGAGAGAGAAACATCGATCAGCTGCCTCCTGCACACCCCCTACTGGGGATGTGCCTGCAACCAAGGTACATGCCCTTGACTGGAATCAAACCCAGGACCCTTCAGTCCGTAGGCCGATGCTCTATCCATTGAGCCAAACCGGTCAGGACTATTGCTATTGTTTTAATCATGTGATTCTGGAAGCCAGCAAGGACTGGATTGATGCCTGATATATGGATACATACCACGTGCCTCTAAAAAACAGATTACTTTGATAACAGCCCCTCTCCTCTTAAATCTTAAAGAAGATTCAGTAAGAAAGGAATTACATAATGGTAAGGGTTAAGGTTCAGGATGTCATAGAATACTTATCTGGAAATACAGTGATTTCATAGTTTGGCAGACTGATTGCAACAGCTAAAACTATTTCAATTACAGGAATCCACTACATTTCTAATAACCTTAGAAATTAATATGTAAGTCCATTCTAGCTCCAAAGAAATATAATGTATATGTAACTTCTTGCTTAGTAAGAGAAAAATTGTTATAAGTTTTAGTAAAGATTAGTTTCTCTCCTATGATAGCACAGCATGTATGCATATGCCCATACCATAAACATTTATGCCTATGCAAGTTAAGTTAGATTTTTATGAACTCCAAGGACTATGCAGATTATTTAAACACAAGAGTCTATTTGATATTTCTTACTTGAAATAAGTCAGCACCTTGGCTTGGAAAACTTTTTAAAAAAATACACAAATTTATTATTTATTGCAAAAGAATTTGACCTGTACCACTAATTAGGATCAGGGAAAAGGGGAAATGTAAATATAGCAGAGAAAGTTGTAAGCCAGATATCCTATTTTCAATTTATAATTCATAGTTGCTTTGTAAGAAGGCATCTTTTAATCAAACCAACAGCTGTATATTTCACCAGATAGACTTATCTGCTTAAAAGAGTAGTTTTTAAAAACATAATTAGGTACTTACCACTAATGAATAATCAAATGAAGCAGACAAATTAAGTAACGAACCAGTAAGAAAGTCAACCTTTATAAAACCAGCAAATCTACTACCATCATGATACTTTTGGAGAAGAGTTCATTTCCTTACTATCACAACAATGATCATCTAAAAACAGAAAGGGATTATCCATTTCTCTCCTCATGCTGATGGGGATTTATTTGCAATTTCAATTTATACACAGCAAAATTCATTCTTTGTGATGTACAGTTCTATGGATTTTGAGAAATGCACAGTAATATACTGTGCACCACAATCAACATACAGAACAGTCCCACTACCCACCAGAATTCTCTCTTGAAGCCTCTTTATAGTCAACCTTCTCCCCATTCCCACCCTCTTGGCAACTGCAATCTGTTATCTATGTATAGTTTTGCCTTTTCTTGAATGTCATAAAACTGGAATCATACAGTATATAGACTGACAAGTTTGGCTTCTTTCACCTTGAAAAATTGCATATTTTTTTAAATATGCACCTGCATGGGTTTTGCTAGAAGCTTTTCTTCCATGTAGAGAAAAAAGGACCATACCAACTTTCCCCTCTATGGTCAACACTGACATCTGTAGTTTTATTTTTTGATATATTTTATTGGTTTTTTTACAGAGAGGAAGGGAGAGGGGTAGCGAGTTAGAAACATCGATGAGAGAGAAACATCCATCAGCTGCCTCCTGCACACCCCCTACTGGGGATGTGCCCGCAACCAAGGTACATGCCCTTGGCCGGATTCAAACCTGGGACCCTTGAGTCCACAGGCTGATGCTCTATCCACTGAGCCAAACCGATTAGGGACATCTGTAGTTTTATATTTACTTATTTTTTAAATATATTTTTATTGATTTCAGAGAGGATGGAAGAAAAAGATTAATGATGAGAGAGAATCACTGATCGGCTGCAGCCTGCAGGCCCACACTGGGGATCAAGCCCGCAACCTGGGCATATGCCCCGATGGGGAATCAAACCATGACCTCCTGGTCCATAGGTCGACGCTCAACCATTGAGCCACACTAGCCAGGTGACACCTGTCATTTTAAAATCACATATCATAGCTGTATTTCAGAATTGTGGCCTTTAGTATCTCTAAACCTAGGTTACAATGTCCCATTTTATAATCTAAATGAAAGAATCTAGGCTCCTGGAGGAAATAAAAATATAGCCTTAATTCTATGTGGGTCTTGGCTCTTACCATGATTTCCTTTGACATCCAGCCACTTGGTTTTTTCCATGACCCTTGTCTTCTTCAGGATACTGTGGTAAGTTTGCCATTCTACCTTCTGCTGCATAGATCCCAACAGGTCCTTTGTTTTGGCATCTGTCAGATCCCCTGCAGATTTACATAAGAATTGAATCGCAATACAAAATAAACCCCAGAGGAGGTTCCAGGTTCAATTTATTTTAATGCATACTGAAGGAACAGATACTTAAAGTATTCCACATGTGTAAACATAGCCACTTTTGAGTCCATTCATTTGTTCCTTATAGCTTAGTAAATGCCTATCTGACCTCCTGTATTAGAAATGGGTTGTGAAAAAATATATATTTAAAGAGAGCATGGACTGACCAGTGTGGCTCAGTGGATTGAGCATTGACACATGCACCAAGAGGTTGCTGGTTCAATCCCCAGTCAGGGCACATGCTCGGGTTGCATCACCCATAGGAGGCAGCCGATTGATATTTGATGTTTCTATCTTTCCCTCTCCTTTCTTCTCAATCTAACGATCAATAAAAACATTTTAAAAAAATAAAAAAGAGAGCATGGACTGTAATGAAAATTATAAGAAATTCCAACAGTCTGGGCAGGTGCCTAATGTCTATGGCAACGGCTGTAACCTAATCAAGTATTATTTTTACAGCAAGAAGCAATCTGGAAGGTGTAGACTGGACAAAGAAATACCAAAATTTCTAGAAAACTAGACAGACCCTTGAAATAGAAGTTTGCCATAAGATGAGGACTGCTATTCCATCATATCAGTAGAGGTGTTTCAGTAAGGGGGGTGGGATGAATCCCCTAGTAGACAAGATAGATGCTCCTTTAGTTTTTCCTCCAACATGGTTTGGGAGCAAATGGTTAGGGGTTGGAAAATTCTAGGGATCCCAAGTCTCAGAAGTACCAAGGGCTGAAGAAAAAGTGTCCTGAGTAATTTAAGCCTCAAACAATTGACAATATAAGATTAACTGTAAAAAACATGGAAATATGAGTGCGTTTTGTTTTAAAGGTAACTTGAGTTGTGGTTAAAGGGCTTTCCCTAATCCTTTCTCAAATTCAGGAATGCAACATCAAAACCAGGTACAGATACAGCAGACATTAAGATGAGGACATTGAGTCCTGCTTCTAGCGCTTTCACAAAACCTTGCTATGACAAATCTTTTATCCTGGATCTTGATTCAGTCATCCCCAGGCAAATGGAAGTATAACGTGTTATCTCCTCAACAGGAGGAGGGCTCACCGGGGGCCGGGGCTATAGTGTTTCCAATGTTCCCAAAGCGAAGGGCTGCAGCCCTGGCTATCATTCTACCTTCCGGACCACAGACAACAGGACAGCGCAGCAACCTTCCCTACCTGTTGCTAGGACGAGAGCTGGTTGAATGATGTCAACAGTTTCAGAACAGAACTTTTCTAAGTCTGCAGCTCTGCCTGGGTCATGAAACATGCTCAGGTGAAGGTCGGATATCTGCCGAAAGCAGGTATGAAACAGATATCTGAGTCAGGAAGAGGCAGCACGTACAGAGCGACCCAGCGGCTCTCTATGGGGGCAGGAAAAAGCAAAGATGCAGTGCAACACAGACCCCACCCCCGCCAGGGAAGGACCGAGGCGCC